CGAGTTGGTTCCGATGTCGCCGAAGTAGACGGTCTTGCCGCCCTTGGCGAGGAACAGGAGACGGTCGAAGCGCTGGAAGAGCATGGCCGAGGGCTGGTGGATGGTGCAGAGGATCGCTTGACCGTGTTTAGTCAAGGTCTCGATGAGATCCAAAATCGACCAGGAAGTCTGACTGTCAAGACCGGAGGTGGGCTCGTCCAGGAAGAGAAGCAGTTGCGGCTTGGCGGCGAGTTCCACACCGATGGTCAGACGCTTACGCTGTTCCACGTTGAGACCTGTACACTATTAGTTTCTAGCGGGAGAAGAGGATGGTGTTTCTTCGGGGAATAAAATAACGCACCTTCGCCGGGAACACCAACAACAGCATCGGCGTACGAGTCCATTCCGAGAAGCTTGATGACCTCTTCGCAGTAGTCGAGCTTTTCCTGGCGGGGGACATGGGCCGGTTGACGAAGCAAGGCGCTGAAGCGCAGAGCCTCGCGGACCGTGGTAGTGGGAAGGTGGAGATCCTGCTGCTGCACATAACCAGTCTTGCGTTGGAAGGATTGATCACGAGCACGGCCGTCGACCAGCATCTCGCCAGTCACGACGCCCATGGTGACACGGGTGGCCAGCACATCCAGAAGCGTAGTCTTACCAGCACCGGACACACCCATGAGAGCGGTGCAGGTGCCAGGCTTGATCCAGCCGTCCACGTGGTCGAGGATGCGGCGCGTTTCACTCTTGATTTTAATGTCGTAGCACACGTCTTGCCAGTGGAAGATGGCCTCCTGTCTCTGGATAGCAGCCGTTTCCTGGGGTACCGACTCGGCGGTCTTCTCAGCGCCGCTCGACGAACCGCTCTCCTCGTCGCGGGATGAAACCGAGGTGTGGCCGCGGCGGAAGAGCAGCACCTCACCCTTCGACTTCGCCTCAGAGATGTATTCGGTGGTCATGAGATGGGTCGTCAGGAAGAAAACCATGAATGCAAACATGATACCGAGGTTCCTCCACTTGTGGCCGACGAAATACTCAAAGCTCTTGGCGAGATATTCTGTACCCTGGACGGTCGATTGCCCACTTACGGCACCGACAGCCGAGCAGACCGTGTATTCCTGTTCAGTGTACCCAGGACCAAAGGGGACAAACATCTGCTTGTTGCATGGGAATTCTCGATGGTGGAATTCATTGACCATCAGACTTTCGAAGCCGTACGCGATTGGGTTGATATAGTTCATCCACCGGGACCAGCCAAGCATATTCCGCGTGGGGATCGTGAAGCCGGTGTAGGTGACCAGGCCCAAGATCAGGACCGCCGCGGGCACCAGGGCCTGCGACAGAGTGCGAGAGCTGGAGGCGAGCGTGCGGAACAGCATGGACATGGTCAACGTGGTGACGAACGAGAAGAGCAGGAACGTGAAGAAGGCCCCGGCGGTTTGACGAAGGCCCGTCATGAAATACAGGGTGACGTTGAAGATGATCGCGTTGGTGATCTTGTAGGGCATATCACAGAGCATGGACGCGATCGCTTCGGCGAACGGGTGATACATGGCGTACCGGGACTGTTTTTCGACAATGGGACGCTGGGCGTACAGGGTGAGAATCTAGAATAACGGGTTAGCGTCATGGGGAAGATCAGGGCCGTTGAGTGGAGTAGCGCGCCTACCTCGAGGGCACTGGAAAACGCGTTGAGCAAGACGGCAAAGAAAAGCAGGGCACCGCGGGGGTAGAAACTTTTCGTGTCGTCCTCCAACTGGAAGAAGACACTGCCGATGATCAAAGCCATGATGAAGTTACCAATTAGCTGCGACAAGGTCAAGCTGGCATCGCCCTTCAAGCGCTGGAAGCCTCGGACCATGCACAGGCGGATTTGCTCGTAGATCGACACGGTATACGGCGATTTCACGCGCCTAGAGGGGTTAGAAGCGGTTTTACGGAACTTGTGGCACGGAATCTCACTCACTGGTTCCTGGCCTGCATGGCTTTACGAGACTCGACGAACTTGTCCAGGGCGTCTCCGTGGAAGGGGAACTCCTTGTTGTATTCGTCGATCTCCTGTCGAAGCTGACGGTAGGCATCACTCTGCTTCCACGCGGCCGCAAACTCATCGGCGGTCTGCGGGACGCGGCCCTCGAAGCCGGGCTTCACGATCCGCTCCGCCGGGCTCGTGAGGGAGGTCAAGAAATCGGCGGTGGTCTGACGATCGGGGCAGTGGAATCCCATGTTGGTGAAGAACTCCTTGGCCTCGTCGGTGCGGCCAAAGTAGATTTGTCTGCCTTCGTAGAGAACGGTCACCTTATCAAAGACCTGTGTCATGGGTGAGCTTATGCATGTTGAACGAACCAAAGGAGAGGGGGAAATGAAAGACATACGTCGTAGGCACTCTGGGACGCCTGGTAGATGGCAACGGCAACGGTGGCACCCGCGTACTTGGTCATCAGGTTCAGGGTCTTGCAAAACTCCAGGGCGTTGGCGCTGTCCAGACCACGGGTACTGTTGTCCCAGCACTGGAGCGGACTGCCGCTCAGAGTCACCTCGGCGATACTGACCCGCTTGCGTTCACCACCGCTGACCCCGCGGACGAAATCGTTGCCGACCTTGGTATTCAAGGTGTGCGACAGGCCCAGCATGGCCATGACGACGTCCCGCATATGCTCCGCATACTGATCCTTGGAGACGCCGGGCAGGCGGTTCCGCGGGGCGCGGGCCAGGGCGGCAAACTTCAGGGTGTCGCCCACCGACAGCTGCGGGAAGTGCACGTCCGTCTCGGCCGTGTAGATGGCCTCGCCTCGGAACTGCTTGCGCATCTGCTTGGCGGAGATCCCCTGGTAGTTGAGTTGGGACTCGGGGTCCATGTGGAGACCGTTCATCTCGCCGGCCAGCGTCTTGAGGAAGGTGGAACAACCACTTCCGGGGCGACCCAGAACGACCAGCATCTCGCCGCTCTTGACGAGGCCGTCAAACTCGTTGAGAATCTGGATCTTTTGCTTGCCCGAACCGACGAGGGTGCGGGCCAACGCACCGACCTGCAGGACGGAGTTGAAGACATCCTTCTGGTAGTCGGTGGGACTACCAAAGCCGTGGACGCTGAGGTTGTGGAAGGCGACACCGGCCTGGCGTTTCGGGTAGCGTTCGGGGTCCCGCGACGACAGGGCCAGCAGGTTCTTCATCCAGTTCTTGGAACTGAAGTTGGGGTTGTGGGGGTTCAGGGTTGAGTCGTCCGGGGTGCCGAGGAAGGGGTTCACGTTATTGTCCATGGTGGAGAAGCGCGTGGACTGGCGGGTCAACTGCCGGGCCAGATGAGAGACCTTGGCCTCGCGGGCGTGCTCCTCGCTGACCTGGCTCATCCGGCTTTGCTTGTCGCTGTACGCATCGTCATGGCTCTCGGCCATGGTCTCGGCCATGCTGATATGGCTGCCTTGTCCCTCATGGTCGGCGTAGGCGCGCGAGTCGTCCGGCATCAGGGCACCCTGTTCCTGACCCACACTGTCGCGTCTGCCCGACTCGACCGTCCGCGAGGGGTTGGGGTTCGGGTTGATGGCGCCGAACACATTCATGATGGCGATTGGGGCGAGACCCGAAGTCTCTGATCACTTCGGACAACCCGATATACTAAGTGGGGGTATATAGGTATAGCGGTATAGATATGAACGATTGGGTTGGAGGATATGAAAAGGGGGGTGGGAGAGATAAGGGAGAAAGAGCAATGACGATTTAAAAAGAGAGAGAGGGAGGGAGAGACAGAGGGAGGGAGAGAGGGAGGGGATGAGGGAAAGAAAAGGAAGAGAAGAAGACGTCCGGGTGAGATAAGAAGGCGTCAGGGTAGGGTCATGTCGCTCAATCTCGATCGCGGGATGAACGTATTCCGGTCGTATCCTGCATCGAAAGGAGAAAAAAGTTTACTCTGGAAAGAGTTAACAAGACCCGCCGAGGTCTGGCCCATTATGGGGGCCGGGAGCGAATGAGCGGCCAGGATGAACGAAAATGGGCGAATCGGGTGGAGGCAAAGGGGCGAGCCGAAAGCAATATTTTACTCCATCCAAGAAGTCGTCAGTTCGTAGTCAGTTGGTCGGTTTGTCGGTCGATGACTGGAGCTTCCTCCACGTTCTGGCTGCCTGAACAGGTGTCAACGGAGTCAGAAACATCCGTGATAGGATCGGGATGGGGATCTTTGTCCGATCTACTTCTTTCTCGACTTGCCCAGGAGTTATTCAGATACATTGTCATATCATGTCTAATTGGCTAACTATCCTTCTTCGGTCTATTTGGTGGAATGTCAATATCGACAGACGGACTCTGTAGGATCTATCTGGAGTACATTGTATACGCAGGAGTATACGGAGGAGAATTGACACATTCCACATGCGGAGCTCCAAGAACGTGGCAAGCATTAACTCAAACCAGCATAGTGGGGACAATACCCGAGACGTCTCACATTGTGCTGGCGGGGCGGGATGCTGCTCTTCCGACCGTTGGGTTTGGTACCGTACCGTTCTCGGATTCGGATGGAGAGGAATCCGTCTGCATAAGTCGGTCATTAATAATTATCCACTCGGCTGATCCCATCCGATCCATACTATCCTCCGGAGTATAATCTGTAGTATACAGATGCACCAACCAGCCGCATCAGTATAAATAGCTCAACCGGGATGACCCCGTCGCACAGATCGACTCAGCAGGGAACACCATAGATCGGGTCGGATCCAGTCAGATCAAGTCAGATCTCGGACGATGAACTCCTACTGCACCCATCACTCCAGATAGACCATAATCATTGCCAGTAGACTGTTGGACTTTCGCTTCCAGTCAATAGCAGCAGTGGGATTCGAGTCAATGATTGGTTGATCCCTTCCCTAACGATGAAACTCCTGATAGGATATTTAGTTGCTATCTGATGATCCAGCATCAAGGGTAGTCAGATACATAACAGACACATAAAAGTGACGATTAGATAGGGATAAACTGTTGGTAGATATAAATTCAGTAATATAAAAAAAAAAGGAATAAAAAAAGAAATTGCTTGACAAGGCAGGGGTTCGAACCCTGGACTCATTACGAAGCAGGGTTTTTCACGCCACTGTGAACAGTAGCGCTGCTTAAATCTGCCGCCTTAACCACTCGGCCACCTTGCCATTTTAGCAATTAGGATATTCCAGCTTTTGGGTCTTGTCTGTACCTCTAGCCTGCCATTTACGGAATGACATCATATTCAACTACTAACCCTAGGTCCGGGGAATCATCCTCTACGACTACATCTAGATAATGCATATCAAAAATGGATTTGAGTGACTTGGTTCTTAGATAGATAACATATTATTTCTGGAATGGAAGTTGGACGAATTTCCAAGATGAACCTTGCTTTCAGCCCAATCTTATAATCACAGGACAACCCAACCCACATTAAGATCACTCGTGTCTGTCATTATATTTACCATACTGGATTTAAAGCTAGGCTGTGGCTCTCCTGAGCCTCTATGGCGCCCGCATGAGCCCCACTGGTACAGATTGTCAGATACTAATACAGTCAATCGCTAAGAATCATCCTCCTCCTCCTCGTCACTCTCATCATCAATCGGCTCCACCAGCAGATTCCCCCCACGCCCGATCTTATCTCGAACCGTGCCCCCGGCTTCGACCTCGTACACAACCCGCGGCATGGGCGACACCAGCCGGAATCCATACCGGTGTTCAAACCCAGCCGGTTTCTCCGCCCCAGCTGCCCGTCCCTGCGCATCCTGGAGAAGGTCGTAGCATTCGACGAGCGCGTAGAGCTCCTCGATGTCGGCATCCGGGGCGAATTTTCGGATCACCCGCTCGCCCGTGGGCAGCCGGAGGCTGACGCGCACGGCATCCTTGACGTCGGGCCCGGGCTCGTCGGCGATGGATTGCACGCGCCACTGCTTCCACAGTTGCAGGTCCTGTCGTCGCTTCTCCTCGGCGGCCTCGCGCTCGGCCGTTTCCTGCGCCTCCCGCTGCTGCGCCGCCTCCGCCTCGCGCCGCTGCCGCGCCCGTTCCCGGTCGATGGCCAGCGAGCGCTCGTAGGCCGAGTCCTGCTCCTGCCGAAGGCTGCGCGAGGCTTGTTGTTCGGCCCGCGTGGAGCGCAGGCGGTCGAGCGGCTCGCGGTTCTGTGAGATCGCGGACCGGAGCTTTTCGACGAACTCTGCGGGGGACGTGGTTCCGGCGATCCGCGAGACGACCGACATGGCCGTCGAGGACACGCCGGGGGTGTGCACGATGGCAGCGGCAAAGGGGAACTTGGTGCAGCGAAGGGAGTTGGAGACCTGGTAGGCTTCGGAGTCTTGGATGTTGCCGCCCCAGACGATGACGCCGTTCTGCGGGTCGGTGACAAAGTCGACCACCTCGCGCGAGAGCAGTGTGTCGCGGACCCAGCCGTTGGTGTCGTCGTGCTCGGGGGCGATCAAGACCACGAGGAGGACTTTGAGGTCCTTGTGAGCCTTTTCCAGCGCCATGTTGTATCCGTTCTCGAGGAACCCGAGCGGGTTGGTGCCGTATTCCTCCTCGAACTCCCGGATGAACCGGGCTGCCGTGTCCTGCGGGCCCAGTGCCCGGCGTCCGTTGGTATTTCGTCGCGACCCCTGTAGAGCCGAGCCTGCTGTTGTTTGGAATAACCGAGGGAGGAAGGGAAATAGAGCCCCGAAAAGCCGGACGGAGCCGCAGAGGAGCCGGTATAGGAGATTGAATGGAGTAAACAGGAGGGCCAACAGGAGCGGTGGGCGATAGGTGGGCTGGTTTCCCGACTGGGTGACGACTCGGGGAGCAGGGTCTACGGCGCGAGCCGCCGGAGAGAACTGCGCTGTCAGGTCCTCGGTCATGAGGTTCTGGGTTTGGCGAGCTGGCCGTGGCGGAGAGTTTTCGAGGGCTGCTCGTGCCTCTTCAACCGGATCGGGACCCTCTCCATCAAAGAACTTGGAGACGGCGATCTGAATAATTGATGGGAAAGCTCTAGTCAGCACATCCACTTCCGAACATCCGGTCCATATTCCATACCTGCACGTTCCATTGTGATCGGCGTAACAGTTCGATCGCTTCCGCGGGTTCCTGGCCGGTGACCGCGGAGTAGGTCTCGAGAGCGGACCGTTCGCTATCGGAGAGCTGGGCAATATCGATCCCAGAGGACATGGTCAATCGATTTCGTCACCCATACAAAACGTTCTACCGGAAAGTGGAGAGAAACCGCGTGGAGAAGCAACAACAGCGGAGTGTACAGAGTAGGTAGCTGGAGCTCAACTGTTGATCGGTGATAGGACAAGATGATGACAGAATGGCGCGGCTTACATAATCGCCAGCTGGCCAGTGCGACTACGGAGAACGAGATAGACCGACGTGAGAACGAACTGTCTTCAGCCTCCCCTCTCTCTCCCCGCTCTACATCCTCCCATTTGTTTGTTGGGATCGGTTTTTCGATTTTCGATTTCCCTGGATATACATCTTTCTCCTTATACCTCGATCAATGGCATAACTCGCCTTGGGTGGCTTTTGATTGTCGGGCGCTAAACACGTGGTACGCCCATTCTGGTGTGTTGGTTTGGATATTCAAACACCTTGCGAGGGGAAAACTGTGGGACCCTTGGTTCCTTGCTTGTGCCTTCCTTGGACCTCCGTGAGATCGATCTGTCAGGATTCTGTCACAACCTGGTTTGAGAGAGGAATGTGGTCTCCGATAGATCTGTTCGGTCGTCCGGTCTTTCTTTGCTTGGATTCAATGGAGATCCCGCTGCGCTGATCCGCGCCCCCCTCTCCCTCCCCATCAATTGTGGACATCACGAGATATTATGGCTTCCGCCGGGAAGTCCGCCCTGGACGAGTCCCGTCGTGGGACGGGATCCCCGAAAATGAAGACACGAGGTGAGCACTCATCGGACAGAACTGGAGGGGTTGCGTCAAGCCTGCCGGGCTGGGTGTTTCTGACGGCGATGTTTCATGGACATGTCGTCCAACCATGATGATCTGCTGGGCTGACACATTGGATTTGCTCTTTTGTAGTAGAGAATGCGAAAGATACCCTGTGTCGCAATGTGACCATCTATGGTCGATGTCGGTTTGAAGACAAAGGTGCCGCGATAGTCCCTTGCCTTGCCTGCGATGAGCTTCGTCTGACGTTGTCCTGAAGGATGTGCCTTCAATCACGACCCGAACAAATTCAATCCTGCGTATCAAGCCGATAGGTGGGATAACCCGGGAAAGAAGGAAACGGCCTGGTTCGACGTGGAAAGTGACTGACCGGCAACGACAACAGTAAAAGGCGATTGAACGTCGAATCCCCCAGCTTCACACCGTCACTATTGTCTTCCAATGGCTCTTCCTCCCCGACCCTTTCATCCGCCAGCGCTAAGAAAATGACAACGATATCCCCGAAAGCCGCTAACGCTGCCCCGTTTCAGCCCCGGGGCATCCTTTCACGTATGGTCTACTTTACTGTCATCGGATCGTTGGCTGACCCATATAAGGATCTAACTCCAGCACTCCGAGTGCACGTCAGGAGAATATGACACCGGACTGGTCCGTGGCCGAGGTGCAGGAATTTGTACCCCAAGGATTTGATACCATGGTAAGAACATCTTTCGCTCTTTCTCCTTTTGGGTCTTGATCCCGCGACGAAACCTTAGTGTTGCCCATGTCTTTCACACGTACTTGTTACTTTCCGTGTTGCCGAGTTTGTGGAGAAAAGCCCCGTTGCCTGTGTTTTTGGTTTTCCTTTCTTGCCACTGGATAGTACGTTGCGGCGTCAGCCTCGTTCACGGCCTTGGTAACATGTCGCGTGCAAGCACGCGTGCTGGTTCTTCCACGGCCAACAATACTGGCCCTGCTCTATCACTGCAACTATGCGGCTCATATGCCGATAATGAAGCTGACCTGGACCTTCAGACTACGCTCCCAGGCAATGGAAATGGCAATGTTTCGTCGACTAGCCCATTTGACCCCTTTGTGACGGCATCAAACCCCTTGGCCGCAGCAAGTGCTGTTGGTCCAGTCCAAGCGAACCCATTTTCACCCGATGCGGCTGCCGCATTAGGCGGGGCGACTTTCTTCGCCGGCCAGTCCGGGTTCCAACAACCAGTAAGTTGATATTAGTAGGATACAGCGAATGTGGCTGACTTATTCAGGTCCAATATCATCTATACGCCCCTATCGGACCTCACAATCAAAATACCTTAGGTTATCAACGGAACGTTCACGATCTATTCCTGCCCAATGACTTCCGCGAGGAGCTGCAGAAGAAGGCTGCAGCTACACTCCAAACTCTACCCAGTATGTGGCGGCCACGTAGTACATCCGGATTCTTTCTGACTGGACAGATACCCAACTCCCCGCCCAGGTCGATTATTTCCATTCATTGGTTCCGTTGGATTTGAACCATCAGAAGAACGCGACCGTGTTTGGCTTTCCTAGCTGGGTCTACAAAGCGCAGTCCAGCAAGGATGGCAATTTCTATGTCCTTCGCAGATTGGAAGGTATTATTTTCCCTTATTTCTCCTCTCATTTATTCGTTTCCTCTTGCGCTGTCCCCCGCATTTTGTTCAAACTAGTGACATCTACTGACATGCGTAGGATTCCGATTGACGAATGAGAAAGCCATCCGATCTGTCCAGGCATGGAAGCGGGTCTGCAGTGGGAGCGTGGTAACTGTCCACGATGCTTTCACCAGTCGCAGCTTCCAAGACAGTTCTCTCATCTTCGTAACGGATTATCACCCCCTATCTAAGACCCTGGCCGAACAGCACTTGGGTGCCGGGTCCCGATTCCAAGGACGGCAGAACACACACATCCCAGAGCAAGTGCTGTGGGGCTACATGACCCAAATTGCCAACGGATTAAAGGCCATCCACAGCAATGGTCTCGCGGCGCGGATCATCGATCCCAGTAAAATCCTGCTCACCGGACGCAACCGCATCCGGTTGAATGCATGTTCCATCATGGATGTGGTGCAGTTTGACGCGCAACGGCCGGTGGCAGACCTGCAGCGGCAGGATCTGGTCAGCTTCGGGCAGCTGATCGTGACGCTGGGGGCCAACTCTCCCAGCGTGATGCACAACGCGACCAAAGCCATGGAGCATTTCACGCGAGCGTACAGCCCGCAGCTGAAGAACTCGGTGTTTTGGCTGCTGAGCGG